TTTTTTTTTTTGTATCTTAGTGCATGCATTATTATAATTTGTTTTAAAAAAAGAAAAAAACATTAATGAAATTTTTTTTTTTTTACTTTCGATGAAAAAATAATTTACATATAAATATTTAAATTATTATACTTATGTATTTTCTAAGCTTGAGAGAAGTTTAAAAATATTTCTTCCTTTGTATATAAAAATAGTGGTTTTTTAATGTTCTCAATATAGTTAAAATTAAAATTAAATTTTTTTACCTAATTTTTTTAAGAATGGAATGCTCTGTTAAAGATAAAAAAAATATTTGTTCAAAATTGTTATGATTAAAATTATATTTGATGATATTTATTATCACTTGATTATAAATTAAGTCCTGAAAGACTAAATAAATGTACTGATTTTAAATTGCAATATAGATATCCTTATTTTAAACAATAAAAAATAAAAATTAAAATTGGTATGGAATAAATACAAATAAAAAATAGTCGTCATTTACTGAAAAGAACTTATTATAAAAAAACCGTTGTAAGAAGAATGAAAAAGTAGAATTATTATAAATATTTATTTTATTTTTAAAATTAATAGAACAAAATGTTAATTTAAAAAAAATATTAGCAAATATATATATTAGGTGTATATTATTAATATATTTAAAACTTTAAAAATGTTTACAATATATAATTAAACTCAAAGATAACATGTATATTTAGAAATATATAATAAATTATTTTAATGATATTAAAAAAAAAAAAATGATAAAATATAAAAAATATTTTATTATTTTTACGAAAATATTTTTCAACTCATGATTCATCTGTGCTACTTACATAAAAATCATCAGATTCTAATAAATTAGAATTACTAAAATTTTTAAAATGAATTTTATACAATTTATTTCCAATACAAACATGAATACAATTAACATAAATGTAAAAATCATCTGTGTTATGATTTGAATTATTATCAATTATTATTTCATTTATATTAGGCCAAAACATATCGTTAACATTTAATTTATTTTTCTCTAAAATCGTTTCTAAACTAGTATCAGTATACGCTAATGATACATGACATATTCTATTTACATAATTGTTATTTAAACCAAATTGATTTAAAATTTTATTTATTTTTTTTATTAAAGGGTCTAAATGTAATTTCTGTTGTTCACTGTTTACAGAATATGAACAAAAATATTTTGTATTCTTTTGGCTTTTATATAGATCAACATCCTTTTTAAAAAATAAGTAAAAGCTTTAAGAAAAAAAAAAAAAAAAAAAGCGTATATAGATACATAATATTTTGAATTATTGTTTTTTCGTAATTTTATTAAATGATCTAAAATTTAGATAAATAATACAAATATTTATTAATATATATATATATTTTTTTTTTTTCTTATTGTATACTTTTATATATTTATTATTATGTACTTAAATTCTATTTTTTTTAATTAATAGGTATATATATGATTATCTTTACTTTAAAATATTTCTTTACCAGTTCTGATTTTTCATTTCTTCTTTTACTTTATTTATAAATGAAGAAATCATATACCTTTTTATTTGAACAGAGCCAACTATAGTTATATGCAGAGAATCTTCAATATCTTTTTTTTCATCATATTGAACTTTTTTATCAATATTTAAATTATCAATTTGATAATAAATATGCTTCAGAATTTCTTCTTTATTTAGTTCATTATTTTGTTTAGTAAAAAGATCATTTTGATTAGATTTAACATTATATATATTAAATTGCTTATTTATTAATTTAAACAAAATATCATAACAGTATTCAGATCTTTTTTTTATAATTTCATTATATGCTACTATAGTAAGAGAAAAAATACGTTTACTAATTTTAAAAAAAAATACATATTAAAATAAAAAATTATATATAATAATTTTTATGTACAAGTAATTTTCTTATAATATTTCACAATCATTTTATTAAAATTATTTTAACCTGGAATATATATATAAACATTAAAATCTCCTTTATTAGTCATTTTTTTAATTTTCACATATTTTTGATGGAGTCTTTCTATGCATTTTTCTTTAATGCAAAAATGGGGAAAAAAAAAAAAAAAAAAAAAAAATAAATAAAAAGAAAAAATAAATAAATAAAATATGTAAAAAACAAAAATAAAATTTTAAAAAAATATAGCCTCTTGCTATTAAGCACATGTATATATTTATATATATTTATCATATAAATAAAAAAATAAAATATATATGTGTATAATTTAAAATACCTAATAATTTTACATGAAATTAATTTAAAAATCAGTATATATGTTTTAAAAAGTTTTTTAAAAGGATGAATAATTATTTTTATGTTTTAATAATTAAAATTTGAATACCTAAGTATGGGTTCTATTATAAAGTTTTTATGTTTTTTTTTTTTAGTTATTTTTGCTTTATCAAACATCTACATTATTTTTAAATAATATATATGTATGTATATTTAAAGAAATATGTATTTTTGCAAGTTATGTTTTTACATATATATCTTTTTTTTAGTTTCTCTAAAAATAAAATGTGATAAGATAAAAAATTTTAGAAGTGAAAAACAACTCTCCTATTACTATATTCAAAATAAAAATGAAAATAAAATATATTTAAAAGATTTTTTAAAGAAAGAAAATAAACTCAATTATAAAGGAAAAGTAAGTTTTAAGAAATGTCAAGTATTTAATGTGAAAAGTATACAAAGTGAATGTATGAATGAACATATGGACAATATAAAAAATAATATGAACTGTTCAGAATATATAAAATTAGATGACTCGAAATGTGAGAAAAAAAGTTCCATGAATAATAAAAATATGACTAGTAATGGTAAGTTATTAACACCAAAAGTGGGAAATAAAATGCCTGAAAAAAAGCCTGATTGGTTTCATGTTCCTGCTCCAACAGGTGAAAAATATAATAAGTTGAAAAATGATTTAAAAAAATTAAAACTTCATACTGTTTGTGAAGAAGCACAATGTCCTAATATTGGAGAATGTTGGAATATTGGTACTGCAACAATTATGCTGTTAGGTGATACATGTACAAGAGGATGTAAATTTTGCTCCATAAAAACATCACCAAAACCATTACCACCAGATGTCAATGAGCCATTTAATACAGCTAAAGCTATATGTGAATGGGATATAAATTATGTTGTTTTAACTTCAGTTGATAGAGACGATTTACCTGATGGTGGAGCAGATCATTTCGCTAAAACTGTTGAATTAATTAAATTTTCAAGACCAGATATTTTAATTGAATGCTTAGTTTCAGATTTTCAAGGAAGTTTTAGTTCTGTTAAAAGATTAGCTTTAAGTGGATTAGATGTTTATGCACATAATATTGAGACAGTTAAAAGATTACAAAAATATGTACGAGATAAAAGAGCCAATTACGAACAATCTTTACTAGTTTTAAAAATGGCTAAAGAAATTAATCCCAAATTGTATACAAAAACAAGTATTATGCTAGGTTTAGGAGAAACAAAAGAAGAAGTATTAGAAGCTATGCAAAATGCAAGAGAGAATGATATTGATGTTATAACATTTGGTCAATATTTGAGACCAACTAAAAATCATTTGAGTGTTGTTGAATATATTTCTCCTAAATTATTTGATTATTACAAGGAGGAAGGTCTAAAAATGGGTTTCAAATATATAGCAAGTGGCCCATTAGTTCGATCATCATATAAGGCAGGAGAATATTTTATGAAAAATCTTGTTGAAAAAAGAAAAAAAGATCTTCATGAAAACGATGTAAAACTGCAAAAAATAAATTAAAACAAATTAATGAAATAAAAGAGGGTTAGAAAAAAAAAAAAAATAAAATAAAATAAAAATAAAAATAAAAATAAAAGATTGTAAAAATAATTGTTTAATCAAAAATTATTAAAAATAAAAACTGAAAAATTTTGCTAAAAAATAAGTACAAATAAATTTAAATTTAAATTTAAATATTTATAATTGTTTTAATCCAATTTTAATAAAAAAAGAAAAAAGTTCTACATTCTCTTGAATATACATATATGTATTTTTTTTTTTTTTTTTAATATAATTTTTCATTATATAAAATATCTGTAACATAAATTTTTATGTATTTTTTCAAATATTATTTTTATTTTATAAAAACTTTTATTTAAATCTGTCATAATGTTTGTATTCAAATTTAAACCAAAAAAAAAGTAATATATATAAAATAAAAACAAAATTTAATATTCAATAAATTCTTGAATTACAACAGACTTTTCTACAATTGCTTTAATATCAGGTCTTCTTTGTAATAAGAATTTAATTTGCTTAAGTGAAATGTGATATTTTTTATTTTCTTCATTTTCTTCGTTTTCTTCGTTTTCTTCATAATTTATATGTAAATAATTAAAATCATCACTGGGGTCATCTCTTAATAATGCGTTTGTTAATTTTGTAACTTGAGTTAACCAGTTATTTTTGTATTTTAAATCTGAATAATTATTTTTTATTTCATTAATTTTTTTTTTTAAATTATCAATATCATCTGTCATTATTTTAATTATATCTTGTAATATAGGCATTGAATAAAATTTATTTTTAAAACCAATATCTTGTATTTGCTGTAATAATGATAATGAGTTATTAATAAATATTATAAAAAAGTTTTCATTTTGTAAAAAAGAAGTGTTTTGATTCATTAAAAAATTTAAAATTGATTGATCTAATTTATATAAGACTCTATTGAAAAAGTCAAAGAAAATATAATCAGGCATATATTTCTTAATTTTAAGTAAATTATTTAATATATACTCATGAAATAAATTATTCACTGAAAACAAATTATGTATTCGTATAGATATAAAGTGATTAAAAGCATCTAAAAAATTATTGAACATTTTGTTTTCTAATGTTAAAAAACTTTGAACAATTTCCTTAATATAACATTTATATTCAAAATTACTAAGAAATTTATTTATGTAATTGAAAGATACATATAATAAGCATGTCACATTACAATCTCCTATCAAATCCGTAATATTATTCCAGTGATATCGAAATTCATCCTTCACAATAATTAATAATTTTTTTACTACATTATTAAAGTATTCTTCTAAAAAATATTCATTTTCTTTAAAGCATACAATTCTATTATTTATTTTCTTTAATATTTCAATAAAAATATGACCATACTCATTTACACAATCATTGTCCTCTAAAACTATATTATTTTTTAAATTTATACAACATTTATCATTTGACATTTCTTTTAATATATCAACAAGAAATTCCCTTTCTATTAAAATAAAAAAATCTCTCATATAAATACCTTTCATCTCCATGAAACTTTCACTTTTTAATTTAGAATTTTCATTTTTTTTTTCTTCCTTTAATATATTTTCATTTGTATCTTCATATTCTAGATTTTCCTTATTAGATGATTCCTCTGTATCTATGAATTCAATATATGAGTTGTTAAAAAAGTCTTCTAATAAATACTTACAGTTTACATTATCATATAAAAACCATTTCTTATATATCATAATTATATGATGCATAAAATTTAGAAATGCCTTCTTTGTATTTTCTTTATCTTCTTGAAAATTATATAAATGAATAAAGTATGAAATTCTACTTAATATATATAATCTACATTCCAATATAATCTTATAGTTTATTTTTTCTAGAATAGCTTCGTAATTTGTTAATTCATATAATAGACTTTCTTTTTCATCATCATTCATAGTATTACAATTGTCATAATATTTAATTAAGTCTCTATTATTTTCATTCTCTAAATTTTGGATTTTTTCATTTTTTGTCATGATATCCTTTAAATTTATTTTATTCTGTTTTTCTTCCATTTTGCTTTTTATATTCATGTTATTGTCCTCCTTGGGATTTTTTGAATTTAAATTTTCAATATCAGTTTTATTCAGTAAATTCATATTATTACCGTTATAATTATTACTATTATCTCCATTATTTTTATTATATTTATTATTAGATATGAAAATATCTTGCAATGCATTATGTAATAATATATTATTTTTGAGATCATTTTTTTGAGCAAAATTTAAAAGCATTTTTAATATAGAATTACTTATAACTGATTGATAAAATAAATATTTTAGACCCCATTCTGGCTTATCAAATTTAAATAATGGGCTTTTATCATTTTGAAAAAATGATCGAAAATAATAAATTATATTACTAGTTAATTCGTTAGTATAAGGAACTAAGTAATCTTTTTCGCAAAAGGAAAATTCTTCACTACTGTTTATTTCTTTTTTCAGATAATTATCAATTTTTCCGATTATATTCCAACTTATTAAAATATTAACAAATTCTGAACTTTCTTTTTTTATTAATGACACATATGTATTATCAAAAACAATAGAATTTTTAATTTTTTCTTTAAACGATTTTTGATTTACATATATATTATTTATTTCTTCGTTATTATTAAGTAAATCATTTTTATTGATTGAATTCTCGACATTAACCATATCGTTAGTTTCTTTAAATACTTTTTTATTCATCTTATCTTCAGTTACAATATTTAGAAAATTCTCATCATCACTATCCATATCATTTATTAATTCCTCTAAATCATTAGTTGATACATAAGATATGTTATTTCCCCAATGGATACATGATAGTAATAACTTTGCTTTGTTTAAATAATATTCCGATAAAAGAGGAATAAAGAACTTTATTCCTTTAATAATTTGTTCTTTGAAATTTTTTTTAAATATATGCAATAGTTTAACTATATCTAAAAGAACATATAACAACTCTTCATATTTTCTATTAACTGCAAATTTCTTAGCATTTTCTAGTTTTAATAATGTGTCTTTTACACATATAAGATAATCCTTTTGTTTTATTAATTTTTTTATTATTTTCGTTTCATTCAATATATACTCAATAGAATTAGTACTACTTCCTTCTTCCAATATGTTGATATCTGCTAATTCTTTTTTTATATTGATAATGTTATATAAATTATCTTTTTCTGTTGTTAGTTCTTTTTGTATTTTTACTTCTAACTTTACTTTAATTTCGTCAATTCCTAATTCATTTTCATAAATATATTTATCAATTACTTTATATATATCTTGTATATTTATTTCCTTTAATTTATCATATTCTAAATAACTACCTAATAATAATATATTTTCTGCACAATAGTTTAATTTTTTATTTTTTTTTAAAATTGTTTCAATGTTACTTTCTTCTTTATCCTTAATATATATTCCATCCCAATTTATCTTATTATAAAAATCTCCTTCTTTTTTCCCATCGTCATTCTTTCCCACATTGTCTTTATTTTTTTTTTTTTTTAATGCTTTCTTTAAAACATTTGACAACTTTTCTTTTATATATTCTTTTCTATTTTCATTTTTCACTAAATTTGTTTTATCCGTTTTTAGAATTATAATATTTTTTAATAATTTCTCTATATTATTTCTTTTATATTCATCATTTTCATTTTTTTCTTCTTCTTTTTCATTATCTTTATCTCTTCGATCAAAATAATTTGCTATAAACATTTCTTTAAAATTACTCTCAGTATTTATTCTTTATATTTAATTTACATTTTTATATATTAGAACCTTCATATACAATTTTTTTTTAAAAAATATTTAATAATTTTTTATTTACACAAAAAAAAAAAAAAAAAAGAAAAATAGTTGTTTTTGTTCATTTAATGCATATGTATTTTTATCTCTAAATCTCAAAATTCTTGTAAGTTGTTTGACTTTTAAAATACCAATAAATATTTAAAAAAAATTTTTAAGAGTTATTCATTTTAATAAATATAAGTGTGTTCCTTAAAATTAATATATATATATATATATATGTTTTTATAAATATTAGTTTAATTAAATAATTTTTATCATAAATTATATTTAGCTAAGAAATTATTTCTCAGAAGAAACATAAAACTGCATGTATCTTAATTCTTAATAAAATGTTTTAATTTTTTTTTTTTTTTTTATCCTCTCTTTTTCCAACATAATCGCATTTTTTCTGAAACTAGAAAGTTAACAACTAAGAATAATAAATAATATTTAAAAATAAAAATAATTAACAAAAACATAATCAAACTGTTTTTTAAATGCTTATTAATAAAATTAATTTTTTAAAATTTCACATTTTAAACCTTTTACATAATAAACTGGTAATTAATATATTTTTTTATATAGTTAAAGGAACGTAAGAATTTTAACAAAAATTTTTAATTTACCAAGTGAGCATATGTGTATCATTTTTTTAAATTACCTAATATAAATTTTCATTTTAGATTGTTTAAAGTTATATTTTTATTTATTAAGTTACTTATGTATATTGTTAGATGATTTTTATAAACTCAAAATATTTTATATTCATAGAATTATATATTTTTTTTATTTATTATAGTAGTATACTATCTTTTTTTATGAAAACTTTTAACAATTTAATGTTTATTTAAAAATTTATTTAATAGTTATATAAATGATTTAATTTTTTTACAATATTACAAATTATAATTTTTTATTTTAATATCACTTACAAAAAATGGTTGAAAATTTATGTTATATATGCCTAACAGTTACAATTATAATAGTAACATTATTTGTTTACATAACATCAGAAAAAAAAAAAAAGAAAAAGAAACAATTAATATTAGATAAAAAGTTTTATTTAAACAAGAAATATAATATAGATTTAGATAAAATTATTAAAAAAATGAAAAATAAGAATGTTATTAATATTGATGATATAAATGATGATGAATTATTAGCAATACTATTCACATCTAAAAAATTTGAAACCATATTAAAAAATAATGAAGATTGTAAATATTTAGATGATAAAGTCTTCTGTAGTGTATTTTTAGAACCAAGCACAAGAACTAGATGTTCCTTTGATTCTGCAATTTTAAAACTTGGATCGAAAGTAATAAATATCACTGACATGAATTCTACATCCTTTTATAAAGGAGAAACTGTTCAAGATGCATTCACTATTTTATCAAAATATGTTGATGGTATTATATATAGAGACTCATCAAATGTAATAAAAAATATCTTTTAAAAAGGAAATTTTATAGAATTTATTTTGAATTTTATATGAGTATATATATATATCTGCATTTTTAATAATATATTAAATTATCTTGTATAATTTAATTATATATGATTTTATATCTTTTTATAAATTTTTAATAGGATAATGTAGATATTGCTATTAAGTCATCAAGTAAACCAATAATTAATGCAGGAAATGGCACAGGAGAACATCCAACGCAATCTCTTTTAGACTTTTACACGATTTATAATTTTTTCCCACATATTTTAGAAAAAGATAAAAACAAGAAAATTAATATTGCATTTGTTGGTGATTTAAAAAATGGAAGAACTGTACATTCACTTAGTAAATTACTTAGTAGATATAATGTTAATTTCAATTTTATATCATGTAAATCTTTAGAGGCTCCAGATAATCTAATAAAGACTATAACTAACAATTTAAAAATAAATGGATTTTATAATGAAAATTCTATAAAAAAATTCGATAATTTGGAAAAAGGGTTAAAAGATGCACACATAATTTATATGACAAGAATACAAAAAGAAAGATTTTCAGACATAAATGAATATAATAATTATAAAGACGCTTTTATTTTAGATAACAAAACACTAAAAAATACAAGAAAGGACGCTAAAGTAACTTTTGCAATAAAAAAAAAAAATATATATATTATATTACAAAATAAAATAAAAAATTATTCATTTCTATATTTGAAAAAGTTAATAGCTATAATATCCTGCTTAATTTTTTTTATAATTGTTATTATATATATTTCTGAAAATCCATATACATTTTAAAACGTTTCATCACTTTTGTAGAATTATGAATTTATACAATAGTCTTCAATTTTTTTTTTTTATTTCAATTTTTTTATAGATCCTCCATCCACTTCCAAGAGTTAACGAAATAAAAGTAGAGGTAGATAATAATCCCAAAAGTGTTTATTTTTTGCAGGCAGAAAATGGTCTATATGTGAGAATGGCTTTGTTATATCTTATTTTTTCATAAAAATATAAAATAATAGGAAAAAAAAAAAATAAATAAATTAAATTAATCGAATATTATGAATTTATATTTTTATTAGGAGTTAAAGTTTCAATAAAAATATTTATAAATTATTTAAAATGTTGTTAATATAACTATATATATTATATGAAATATTAAGTATTTAATACATACGTATACTTATATTTATACATACATATACTTATGTGCATATTAACATATGTAGAGATTTTAATACGTATATTTATATGTGTGTTTATTAATTATATATGTCTAAAATTCTTTAACTGTGCTTAAAACTTGCTGTTAAATAAAATTAAAAATTTTGTTCATATTATTTATACCTTTTTAATTTCTTGAAATACATTATTTTTTTCTATAAACTATCTACATTGTATAGAAAAAAAATGTATAAAATTTAATACAGTTATTATTTCTTGTTCATAATATATATATATATATATATATATATATATATATATATATATATATATATATAATATTTATACATCTTTTTTTTTTTTTTTTTTTTTATATATATTTTCATTAATAGTATATATGAAATTTTTATTTAAAAATAATTAAAAAAAAATGCTATTAAAAAAAATAAATCAATTAAATCATTTAAAAGAATATATAATTATATGATTATGAAGAGAAAAAAAAAAAAATAATGATAACAATGCATAATCTTTATTTCATATATTCTAATGTTATGTATGTTCAGGTTTTTTTATTTTTATTTTTTTTTTTTTCTTAAGTAGTATATCTAAAAAAAGGATTTTTTCCTTTCTTAATGAAAATTTTTATGTCTAGGAATACATTTGAACCGATAAGTAAAAATTTTAAATATTTTCCACATTTCTCAAACTATATTATGAAAAAACTCAAGAAAGTAAAAATATGTAAAATAATAATTTTACTAATTAAGTATAAATATTTTTGTAAAAAAATGAAAAATAAAATACCCCTTCTATGAATTATTTACTAAATTAATTAGTGTTTATTAGTAATATAATAATAAACATAATTTTTTTTTTTTTTTGGGTAAATTGAAAAGTTAAATTTATAAAATTAAACATTTTGCGAAAAAATTATCCATAAAAGTAAGAAAAAAAAATAATTTTAATAAATATTTTGGTAGTTTTTATTTATAAAGTTGAATATTAATCTTTCTTTTAAATTAATTTTAAATAAAAATAAAACTTATTTAATATGAAAACACTTTTCATATTCTTTAAAAATCATATAACTTCTATATTTTTTTAATGTATTCGAAATAAGTTTTGTTCTAAATTTTTTATTAAATAACGCTATATTTAGCTTTAATTTCAGTTTTTTTTTTTCATTTATATTTTATTTTTATAATTTTCATTATATTTAACTTTATTTTATTTATTTATTTATTTTTTTTTTTTTTTTTTTTTTTTTTTTTTACACATAGTTATCAATAAAAAAAAATTATATTTATTCATAATTTAAATCTGAATTTATAAAATTTTTAACTTGCATTTTTTTTTTTTTTTTAATATAAAACATTATTTTTTCTTCTATGAAGCTAGAGTAAAATTGTATCATCATTGTAGAAACAAGAAAAA